CATGATGACATCTGCATATAACCCAAAACACTGTTATAAAATGTGTTTGAATTAATGTTTTAGGCTAGTTACTATGTTAACCACCATGTACAATTATTGCATTTGTCCAATATCCTGAAGTCAGAAAGTGATAACGTTGAGATTTGAACCCAGGACTCTGTGTCTAATGACCACAAAGATACACTTTATCTGTAGTCAAATCACAACAGTCTCATGTGAAGAAGATTCAAGGGCTGTGGGAGACACAGCAGAATCACATGTGCAGCTTCTCCACACAGAGCCCCTTCTACCACCTAGCATCTCCCACCTCTCCTCCTCCTGTGGTGAGTCACTATTACTGGCACGGAATCCCACAAGAGAAGGCCACAACATATTCACATATAACAATCATACAAAAAGATCCAAGCACAAATGATAGATATGTTTGAATTTTGCATGCAATGTGGGAGACTTGCTTTTTTCTCTTTCCAGTTAGAACTCTGATTTCCCAAGCTGACCATAATGCTATAGTACCACAAACATTTACATATTGTCAATTTAAACCGTGTGTGAACTCTGTCACATTCATCAAAATGTGAAAGATTACAAAAGAGGCCAAGGCGGAACCGCTGTGAAAGCCATAACATTTATTGAAAAGTAGACATATGTTTGCAAATCACAGTGCTGCATGGGCATATATTACATGGTTCATAATGCTGTTCCAATTAAGCTTTTCATCGTGCCGTCTCATCTAGTCCCTTAAAAAAAAATAACTGAAAGGAAGAAGAAAGTGTCAATTGCAATTATGTTTAAAAAACAAACTGCTGCTTTCAGTTAGAACGAATCTGTACTTGCTACTGAGATACACACAAGTAGATTTTTCAAGGTCCATGCATTCATTTCTGTATGGGTGGAGCTTTTCAATAAATAATGGCTTTAGTAACCCAAATAGTATCTCAGAACATTGACAAGTTTCGGGAACAAGACAACAACTGCAATGAACAATAGCATTTCCAACATCTGTCTCAGTTAATACACTACTTTGCTCTGGAGATATTTAACACAGCATTTCGTTTTTGAAATAACAAGGGAAAATTCATCTAATTAAGGGCATGACACAGAATACATCTATAAAAGACATTTCCCATCTTAAGTAATATTCAGCAGATGACTTATTTCCTTTTGGCTCAGTGGTAGACATTTTGGCAAAATTTTAAAAATAAATACTGCTCAACTCTAAAAGCAAAATTAAACCTTTTGTTTTCCTCTGAAAAGTATTGTTTAACAGCAAAAATAAAAAAAATAAAATTTTATTTCCAGAAATTAAAAAAAAATATCTGTTTTGATAATAATGAAAAAGTTTTGTTTTTCATTTTCCTGAACTACCTACATTTTCCCCTTTTATGGAAATATCTAAGATATTGATTAATGATCATGGACTAGAAAGTTATTTGATTTTATCTCATTAGAGATTAATAATGCAAAACTGAAGAGGATTTTTAATCAAATAATCTGATAGTGTAAAATATCAATATAATTGGTGACTATTGAGAGAGCTAATAAGAGAAAAATTAGAAAATTCTAAGAGAGAAAGCCTAACTTTGCTTTGCTCTGCATGATTTACTTTTTTATTTAATAAAGCAACTATGTGTGCATCTATCTGGTTTTTTTCTCAGCACAAATTGTCAGTTGATCTCTTCTAAAAATTTTCCGATAGTCAGTAGTTGACTGCAATTGGCAATTTAGGGTCAGGCTCTCATTTACTATGCTTATATGTCCCTGGATATGATATTCTACTCTTTATCTCTTATTTATTTTGAAATTCAGAAATCTTCCACCTACTTGAACACATTTTGATACCTAATTAAATATTGCATGTAAGAGTCTATATACATCAAACATTTTGTCCAAGAATTTTATTCTCATTAATCTTTTTGTTATTCTTCAGCCACCATGCAAGGGACCTACTGACAATACTCAGGCTATTAAGACAGAAAAATTCAGACATGCTCATCTCAATTTTCCAGTGGGTGCTTCTCAGTCCCTGGCACATCTGGTTTTTCTTTGCAATAGAAAAGAGTTTGCCAATCCACCATCATCTGCTTCATGATATCTCGGCTGGATTCATCCTAGAAGAAGCTGTTGGGGGAAAGGCTCATTCGTGCTTCTAATTTCTAAATCACAGTCATAAAATCAGAGAAAAATGTACATATATCACTCATTCATTTGCACACCAGATATATAAATCTGAAGCTGTTATGAACAGAAGAAAGTAATATAATACCTTTCTGTTTATCTATGAGCCTATTTCCCCAGACTTGAAAAGTGCTGGTCTTTATGAATTTGCTTACAGTTTTTTTTTTACAAAATCACATCGTTTTCATTCAATCAATAAACATATGCTGAACTCCAATGATGAGCAGGCACTATAGCCTATTTTATACTTTTTGTGAAAGAAATCAAAGGGGCTTTATTCAGTGGGTTTAAGGCAATAATTATGGGTATGTCAATTTATGCTTGCATTTTCTAGTCAGCTTTAAGGTAATCTCTTTCACATAAGAGGAAATAAAGAAGATAACTGAAAGTAAATAAGGGAGTCAGTGTCTGCTACCTGTCAAGTACTAGGCCAGGAAGAACTGTGTGTGGGTGTAAGTTGTTGAACTCTAAAGCCTCTTAAGAACTATAGGAGGTATTTATTTTTCCCATTTTATGGTCAGGGGAAAAGAAGCTTTAATTAGTTTCATAATTGTTTGATATGACTTCACTGTAGCTTATGTCCTCACAGAGTTACCACAGGAAAAAACTACTAGGAAAATTCTAGAATTTGAACTAAGGTCTGAGTAATTCCAAAGGAAAAACTCAGGGCTTATTGCCATTGTTTATTACACAACACCAAGATGCTATATCTCTGAACTGAGAAACTTCTTGAGTTCTTCAGATGAGAAACTATCATCTTTTGTTGCTATAAATTCAGTATTCCCCAAGATTACTGGTTCCTCTCCCACTTTGGTAAGGAAGGACTCCTTAAAATTATGCCTTTCTGATGCCAAGAAATTTTTATGGGAATAAAATCTTTTTTCACCTCCCAAAATTTTGTTTTAAGATGAACTAAAGAAAATTTTATTATAAATGGCCAAATTCCTCAATATTATAAAGTAATGGTCTGTAATTGATCTCTCTTGATGTTCTGGGAAATACAAATCAAGATAATACTCTATTTTTAATAACTTATTTGCTCCTTAGTCATTGCTATCTCCTTTACACTTAAAAATTAAGAATATCATTAATGTTTAGATAAAAGACAAAAAACACTAAAAAAAGTTACTCATATTAAGAGTAATTATCTCCAGATACTATTTATTATAAGAATAAATCCTTTCTCTTATATTCTATCTTTTACCTCATCTTGACTTAATGCAAATGAATTAATGGGTGTCTTTCAATACTTCTGTGCTTATTTTAAAGTTTTCTTTCCTTAAAATACATTGGTTTTTTCACTGTTTTATATTGTGACTCTTAATTTAGGTAGAACATTGTTATTTTCAAATCCCAATAGCAAACACAAAGAGAAGGCTTAAATTTGGCAAGAGCATTGAAGTTAGATAATACTCAAATAGAAAATAAAACTTGAGATGATCAGAAATTTTTTTCCATTGCAGTAGACTGCATCATAATGTCCACAACGAATAGATTCTTCAGGAACTGGGTTCTTTCTAGTAATAGTTCAACAAGTGCATGCAAGTGTACATCTGTGAAATAAATCTGCCACAGATGCTACACCTGGAAATGAGGTCTCCAACAGGAAGCCATTTGTTATCACAATAAATTATATCTGTAATCTATACAGACTCTCACATCCCTTTAAAAAATCTAACCAGGACATTTTAAGGACTCTAGTTCACTTGAAAACATGATGAAAGGCTGACTGGAATAAAATCCTTACAAAACTACAAACTCTGTATAGTTTAAAGGACAACCCATATAAGCTTTTAGAACTAAATTTTCTTACATTTGTATCTAAGAGTGAGGCTGACTTTATTCAATGACTAAATAAATTTATATAAGTAGCTAAACTATTTAAGCCTTATTTTTTGTTTTCGTTTTCATTTTTGGTGCAATGTTATGTTAAAATTGCCCTAATGCCCTTTAAAAAAAAAAAAAAGATGTGGAGTACAATTCAGGGTTAGGTATACAAATGGTCATTGTGTAGGTAAAGTTCAGGCCTCCCTTAGGTCCCCACTTCACCTTAATGCCCTTTTTAACTGCCTTTCTATTCCTAGGACCAGTACGTCCCAGAAAAAAGTGAATGTACATTTGTTTTCCTTTAATAGTGTCCTATTCCTGTCTATCACAATGCTAATGTGAACTTACATCTCTTATAAACTTCTAAGTAGTGGAAGGAAGACTCTGTAATACAGTCCTACTCAGGGGCTCTCTAAAGCCTCAGGAACTTGCTGCATATCTGGATCTTCCTTCATGGCCTCCTTTCAACTAAGTTTTTGGTCCCATCAACACGGCTGAATTTTACTGAGAAGAAAATAAAACTACCAATATCTAAACACAAGAACAGTATGAATTAGAATTCCAGATTCATTTTAATTTCCTTCCCCTACTCCAATCTACCTTCCTTTCTGACCTTAGTTCTACAGGGCTCCTTATGCCTGCAGCCATGGCCCACCTCCCCACCCAGGCCTCAAGTCAGAGACCTGGGGAGTGAGGTGGGACAAAGTACTGTAACTCAGAAGGGACTATGGGCTGCGGCCATGGCACAGTGGGGAAAACCAATAAAATAGCTGGCTCTTGGTCCATACATGTCAAAGCAAGATGCTCTTATGAGTCCTAACACTAAACTTCGACCATGTTAAATTTAAAAAGAAAAGTTAGAAGACACTTTCCATCCTTAGTGATGTTCCTTAATTCATCAGTTTTATGATTATACCTATGTATGAAATAACTATATAAAGCACCTTAAAATAAGAATTCCCTCACTAAACTATTCTATGTAGAATTATATAAAATAGCTCATCTTACAAAAACATGGTCCTTTATAAAGTTTGAAATAAAATGTATGCTGAAATATAAAATTAAAGCTATTGTCCTCAAATTATAAGGTAATTTGGAAATAGTAAAATTACTAGATAATGCCAGAAGCCTACTTTTTTGTTACATTATACTTAAAATACATTACTACCCAAAAGCCTTAGCGGATCTTATCATCATCAAGAATGGAGGGAAGAAACCCAAGATATGCATAAGACTGTATCTCATAGTGTGTCTTAGAAATGAACTCAGCACTTTTTAATGTATGCTGTTTCGCTGCCTTATTTCTAGCTATTATACATCAGTTACCCAGTTTACTAAGTTGATTACTGCAGAATTTGTCCAAGCAAAAAGTTAAGCTGATGAGAATTTCCAGGGTCATCATCCATTTCCCTTTTTGAAAGAAGGTTCTAAATATGCCCTTTTCCAGTCTTCAGGCACCTCATCAGTCCTCCACGAGTTCTCAAAAATGATATCTAGCGGTTCTGTGATGACTTCGGCCAATTCATTAAGTACTCTAGGATGCCAGCCATTGGGACCTGTGGATTTGAACATATCTGGGTTATTGAAGTTTTCCTTTACCCATTCTGCCCCTAGTCCATCATGGATTCCTAATCCTATTTTTAAGTCATACTTGTCCCTTTCTAGTTACCACATGACTTTTGAAAAACAGTTCTAAGTCTTTCCTTGTTACCTATCAATTTTCTTTTTCAGGCTAATAAATGAAGAGTGTATTTTATACTTAGCCTGTATTTTGTTTTAATAGCTCTACTTATCTTTTCCTTTTATGTTCCTTGTAAGGATAAGGCAAGTTTTAGAAAAAGACTAAATAAAAGTATACCTTGTGATCAATTGCATTTCTAAGTCACATGACTCAATACTATGCTTGAGCAACCTCAGTACTAAAGCAACAGTCAACACACTAAGAGGCATTCCAAAGGCTACCTGTCATGCTGGAAGAACACATATCAGCTTGTAGCTGTGAGTGTTCATTCAAAATGCATCTTCCAAAGCAAAAAAAAAAAAAAAAAAAATCACAATTATATTGAATCATTATCATTTAATGTATCAACAGTAACTTTTTCACATAAGTATTTAAAAAGCATAGCTGTGCATGAGCTGGAAAGAGGTTAATAAGGATTTCTTACAAAGCAGCAACCTAGTAGAATTCATTTGCGTGGTCATCAGCAACAAGGTTCTTGAGTTTATATTACACTAATTATCTTCAAACTCTGATATGTGTTGACAGCTTTTACCCCTTCATTGTCACAATGATCCCTCTGAAACTGAAAGGCAGCAGCAAATTACAGTGGACTGCCCATCTGTCACAGTTATGCTGTGTGTCCAGAATCTTTTGACAAATCTAGGATGGACAAGTAAGAGGAAGAAAAGGAGAGTCAAAAGGAAAAAGAAGGATTGAGTCTTTCCTGAGATTTTATGCTGCTTGCTTCAACTGTTAGGGTTTTCCATTGGAAAAGTTTTTGTAAAAGGTTGAATCAATTCTGCTCTTTTTTGTTTTATTTTTCTATTCTCTGTCTCCAACCTTACTCCCAGTTTTATCCCTTGAAGCTTTCTAAGTGTCAAAAGAATAAAAATCATATTGCAGACATCATTAAGACTCTTTAAAGAAACAATTCTGCACATTTCTCTAGGGTACAGCAATTTGTATTAGCACATGCCATTTTAACCCCTGCTCAAACAGCCACCTGCTGATGGCAATATGTTAGCTAATATGTCATTATTAATTAGTTTGGGTGACACCATCAGGCAATCACATCTAAATGAATGGAAAATATTACTATCCATGCTCACAAAATTTCTCTGGAGAATAAGCTATTTTCAGGTCTTTTTCTTTTTTTTTTTTGCTGTAATACTAAGTAATATCTTATTACAAATTAATATATTCAAATAGTTACCCAAATAAACCCATATCCAACCCAATGCTTCTATGAAACAACGACTCCTATTATAAATTATGCAAAATTAATGTTCAATCTATATGAACAAACCAAATTGTTGAGCGTTTTTGTTTTTTTTTTTGCTGGAGGGAGCATGGAGGAAGGGAAGGGAAATTCTGTAAAGAAGGGAAGTTACCTTAATGTAAAGAAGGTAATACTGTTTAATACTCTAATTAAAGTAAATAAATGAAAAGGCATTAACACCAAAACTTATATTTACTATACAGTGTAAGATAAGTAGCTATTAGTATCAGGAAAAGATCCAGAAAGAGCCTTCGGTTAAGTGTTAGGGGTCACTAAGATGGCAGGATGCTCATTTTCAAGAAAAGAATAGGCCACATAGGGGTCAGGTACTTCTTTAGGACATTCTCATCATAATAAAAGACTCTCCACGTCTGCCCTATGTTAGAGAGAGTTCTGCTGGAAGTCAGAAACATGGTCTCACCTATCACCAAAGGTCACTTTGTTCTAGAAACATATAAAAATAAAGACAATGCCTTTGGACAGGTTACCATTTAGCAAGCATAGACATCCTCCATATTAAAGTCATCTAACAATGTGGCCCATGAAGTCATTTCATAAATCGAGTGTCAAGCTAATAGCCTTGGAAACCTCTCATGCCTTTAGTTCCACAAAAACAAATCACATTCATTAAACAAGCCTAGCCTTGCAATTTGCTATTTTTCATTCTTTGCTGGGGGAGGGTGGGAGGCAAACAAACAGGATTTCCACAACTGGGTCATGGAGAGTTTCAAGATGTGAGAGCAGTCGCAGAGAATAATTAGCAGAGCACATGTTGCTTCATGACCGTAGAATACGTCAGTGATTTCCCCGTTCCCAACGCGCCTTCATTCTCTGGTGGCTGATCATGTTGTGTCACCCCAGGGCCTGGTCTTGATACATCCCGCTCTTTAAGTGTAAGAGAAATAAATGGAGTTTTAAAATTCTGACAAGCTTGCAAGAGATAACTGCTGAAAATAAAATTCTTATGGGCAAACATGCGTTTGACAGAGCTGCTACCATACCACACATTTTTCATATTTCATTTTTCCCCTAAATTATCTGGTACACTTCTACAAAGAAAAAAAAGTTATTTTTTCACTCCATCAAGAAACATAGTATCTGTTCACATGTGTTTGCGGTCTTCTTTCTCAATCACAGTACTAGGTTGACTTAAAAATCATGAAAGAAATGGCTTCAAATCAGCCCCTTCCTTAAAATTCATGAAAACCAACCTCTGAAAGACAAATGCCAAATTTTATTTTTGGTTCTTTTTTTTTTTCTTGAGTTGGAAGTCTCACTCTGTTGCCCAGACTGGAGTGCAGTGGCCGCTCCTGGCCACTGCAGCCTCGACCTGCCAGGTTCCAGCGATTCTTCCGCTCAGCCTTCCAAGTAGCTGGAACTACAGGCGTGCGCTACCACGCCCGGCTAATTTTTGATTTATTGCAGAGATGAGGTCGCGCCAAGTTGCCCAGGCAGGTCTCGAACCCACGGGCTCAGGCAATCCACTCACCTCAGCCTCCCAAATGCGCGGGATTACATGCTGAGCCACTGAGCCCGGTTTATTTTTGGTTCTTAATTCTCCACAAGTGATGCTATTTTTAAAGATGAAGTTTGTTTGAAAAAAAAAAAAAGTGACTGCCAGAAGTCTGTGGCATACTAAATTATTATCTCCCTATTTCTAAGAAAACTTTGCTTAAAAGGTTTGTTTATACCCTGTGGTACTATTTCTCTTCGTACCTGACTTTGAGACCACTTTTGGTCAGAGAGCTCTTACATTAGGGCCACCTAAATCTAATTCTTGGGCTGAACTGTGACTTTCTCAGTTTCATTTGTTCTAAGCTTTTATGGGGATGGGGGTGGTTCGACCCTTCTATGCCAAATCTGCTATCACTATTAGAATTCTAACCCGAGAAACAGGGAGAGACAGAAAAAGTTATGCAAGAATAAAGAAACTATTATTATGTTAACCAGATAAACTTAAGATTTACAAGATTACATTTTTTTCTCAGCTGATTACTCTGATTTTTAACTGACTTCAAGTCTGTTGCTCTTTTTAGCTTGTGATTGTCCCTCTAATTAAAGGCAATCAGAGTAATACACAGGCTAAACCATTTAGAAGTTATTTCTCTATTGTGATATTATTCTAAAGGATACAGCTCAATTGCAGATATAGAACCAATTGACAAATTGACACACATTTTCCCTATCTGCTTGCTGGAAAAAAAAAAGTAACTGGCAACTGAATATTAATAGTCTGTGATATTTCCATACAATTTTGGGGACAACTTCCTCACAGAGAAAAAATTAAGGATGATGCACAAATGTTGCCATCTGTCCTCTGGGATGACACAAGGGGCACAAGTCTGAACGTTTGGTGATTGGTGACAAGACATAAGACTTTTTTTTTTAACCTCATGGCATACTCAAGTTAAGTTTTCTGACTTTCAGTCATGTCACACTGGCTATTATTAAGGTGGGAATTTGCTTGGAGAGAGGGGACTTCAATACAGCCTCTCTGTAACTGTAAATAAACTTCAAGGGCAAAACCCTCATATTTTACATGTCTACATCTCCTATAGAAACATTATATTTAATGTCACCCACTACTACTGCTGATTGATAAAATCACCCATATTATACTTTTTGTATAAAATTCATCACTAAATTAAGTTCCTATTGGAAAATTTTAGTCTAAAAAGTCAGATGTGGGTCTATTTTCTTTTGCCTAGTCAATAGAGAAAAATGGTCAATATATGTTCACTAAGCCCAAGTGTCTTAATGGTCAGGTCACCTTTTCTTTGAGGGTCTCTTCTCAGGCCTCCTCACTGGAGAAGGCCCACACTGGCTCCCAGATCCCAAGAGGCTGGAGGATGCAATGCTACGTTACACAAATCACATGTCTTAATATGTCCTTTTTCTACAGAGCAGTCTTCTAGGGTACATTTCCTAGGATTCTACAGATTAGAAAAACGTTTGACTATTCTCAAATGATCCACATAATGATGTACACATATTTTCTTTTTGTGAAGTTTAGAAATAAATACCCAAATGCCATCCCCATTATAAACTGTTCTGTTTAACTATTTTATCTGTCTTCATCCATGGTGCATCCTTGGTAAGTGCAGATGTATTCCAGTTCCTGGAACAAATTAAGTGGGTTATAATAAGCTACAGGGCTTCTTGGTGCCTCCTCCAGCACCACATGGGTTCTAATCTTCACTCAGGACCTCTCTGAAGCTTTTTAGCAAATGGCAAGAGAGAGAGAGGGTGGTTGGAAATTTTCCCACTGGCTTCTTCAGAAAACTCTCAGAAACAAATTCAGAGTTTAAGAAACAAAAGGCTCTTTGTTTATGCTATCCTCAGGGCATCAACCGATTTTATAATTTTTCCAACTGAATAGCTATGCAAATTTTCCACTTTCTTAAAAGCACTTTGCTGTACTCATCACTGACTATTCTGAGTATGCTCACTTCCCACACAAGAGAGCAACCCACAGGGTTGTGGTCTGCACATGGTATGAGTGCTCCCAGAGCCTGCAGGTTCAGAAGCCCGGGCTTCCTCACAGCCTGGAGTCAGGG